GCAGGATTAGCAGGCACAGATATCGTGCAGGAAACTACATGGATGTGATAAAGGGTTTCACAGACCCCCAAGGACTGATGATAATGGAGTGACTGTGAATTAAAGAACACAGCTCTGAAATTCAGACATGCTGACAATTCAAAACCTCCACTATTTTTACTTAGAGATGCAGAACTGCTCCACACAAAGGCAGCAGTGCCATAAGCCACACAGTACAGAGCCATGCAGTGCCCAGCAGCTCCGTGTGAGGTGCTCAGCACCCAAAGCTCTGTGTGCTGCAGGGGGCACCTGGGGCTCAGTCTGCAGTGTTTGGCAACATCAGTTCTGGACCGCATATCCCTTCACCCCCACAGACACTGGGCAGTTTTCCTCTCGTGTTCCTTCCTGATAACTGAGATCCACTGCAGATACAATCAGGCTGTTACGTAATTTTTAATTTACCGAGAGCAGACTTGTAGGCAAAACCATAAAATTTGCCACACTGAAATAATAACAGCTGCTAACATTTAAATTGGAAACGCTCTCTGACAACTAATTCCTTCTATTTCTGCTGATGGCAATAACATCGGTGCGTTTGGTGCAGACAGTGCTTATTTAGGAACTAATAATTCTGCAGTCTGATCTCAGCTCTGAGAACTCTGCCGTGACTCAGTGCAGCACCCAAATGTGTGCCCCTTCCACTGCAGCACTCTGTACCCTTGTCAAAGTGATTCATCTCCGACCCAGACAAGATCCCACCACTGAGACCAGAAATGATTCCTTCCCAACGCCAGCTGACTCAGCTCAGCATCCAATTAATACCACCTTCAACAATGCAGGCACAAAACTGAAGCTCTTCACCCATTTAGCATCGGCTGAGGAAGCTGCCAGCGATGCCTTTGACTTTCAGGACTGAGGTCAGCCTGGAGCTGAGCCCCATCCTTCAGAAGGCCAAAGCCGGGGGACAGTCACAGAGCCGGGCTGAGGGGAACTCAGCAGAAGGGAAAGAAATCAGGCACAGAGGCCACGAAGAACGTTCAGCTCCTGTGGCTGCTGTTGCCTGTGGTAACATGCTATCACCCAGCACAGCGCCATGCCCAGCGCTGCCACTGACCTGCCAGCGTCCAGCTGTCACAGCACGAGTGGCTTTGTGCTCAGACCTGAAGTCTGCTGTAAAGGAGAGCAGATGCCCGTGCATTTCACGCAGAATGGCTTGCGTTGTTTCTGCTTTGTTTCAGCTTCTGTCAGCTCCAAATTCCAAAGAAACCAAATGCAGTGCTGTTCTCCCTCTTCTCTTTTCATGCTCCCACACTCAGAGTGACTGCTGGATTCAGTGAGACCCCAGCACAGCCTGAGGAGTTGACATGCAGTGTCTGTCTGTGAATGCTCTCACCTGTAGTATAAATCTGTGTGCATCACAGTTTGCTGCCCACTGTAGATCTGAAGCTGCACTAGATTAAAAACTGCTTTCAAGTTTCTGAAAACCTGCTTGATTTTACTAAGAACTACAAATATTCAGAAGAAAA